GAGTTAACCTCTCTGCCAAGCTGTAGCTCCCTGCCACTGTTGTTCATTAAGATTTGGTGGAAATGTACCCTTATTTCTTCATACCTTCTTATTTTCACATGCTTGGATTTTTTTTTTCCTGTGCTACTGTGATTGCTTTGCTAAAACAATACTCCCAGCAAAGGAAAATCGTGGGTTGAATTGGAATTGCAAGAGGCAGTCAGTTAATCCACAGATTATTGACACGGTGGACCCTAAATGCTTCAAAGGCACCATTATAGTCCATCGTGTCCGTGTGGACTTAGGGAGCTTTAATCCACGGATTACAGGTCCATAAATGCTCCTGCCCTCCCAGTTACAGCTGGTCCTGCCGACGGGAGCTGCCATGTCAAGCTGGCTGTGGCACTTCACAAAAATATTTGCCTTTAAAATCCACAGAGACAGCGATACACCCCTGCGTCCCTGTCAGGGCTGCATTCCTTGTCCCGAGCTCCAGGAGAGGTCCCACAGCCCTGCCTGGCCCGTAATTTTCCCCAGGCACGAGGCAGGACCAGACAACAAGTTTTCAAAAGTGCTGCTTTAAAAAAAAAGAAACCACAAAAAAGCCCAAATGAAAAGCGTACCAAACGTTTTCCAGATCCTTCAGGGAACAGTGAGCATTAAATGGCAGCCCTTCACTTTTCCCCTCTGGTCTCCCTCTAAACAAACAAATGGTGCAGCTCCCAGTAAATACTTTGGTTGCAAAGGCATTATTTTTTCTTGTTTGCACATTTAAAAATAACTAATTGTATTACAGTCGAAATTGGTAGGTGCTTTTCAACCCCTCTGTTTCTCAGGTGATAACTGTGTGTGCTGAGGCGTGTGTATTTGTGTTATATATCGCTGGAAATGAAGTGTATAATGGAAAAGCTCACTGCCTCTTTACTTGCAGCATTCCTATAATAAGTCAAAGAAGTCACACAGTGCCCTTTTATTTCCAAAGCTGGACTTAAATGGTGTCAATAAATCTGCAGGCTTATTATGAGATGCAGCATGGGTAATGTAAACAGCAAAAAAACCCAGCACCCCAGCACACCAGAGTTTAAAAATAGGATCTAAGGAGGAAAAAAGTCAACCATCCGTATAATAAAAAAGAGAAGAAATGCAACACAAAAGCACTGTGTCAGGCAGTGCCTTGAAATTATCCTCACTAAATTACAGCCATGCACTTTCCACTCTCTGTAATTAAACATGAGGGTTTGGTTATTCCAGACGAATTTGCTTCAGGTAAACCCAGATCTTTTTTGTTTTGCTGTTGTAAATCCTTTACAGGTCTCTGTGAACTACAGACAGTGGAGGGGTAAAGCAAATGATTTCCACAGATCAAGGCAGTTGAAGATGACTGTCAATAAAACTGGCCTTGCACGTGGTGAATCCAGTACTCTTGCTCCCTTTTTATGGAGGGTGGGCATATTCAGGAACAGTTGTGCTTGGGGCAATCAGAAAATACTGTAGTCTTGAGCAGTGAAATCAAAAATGGGGTGATTTAACCTGCCTCTGAGGCCTCCTGTTTCTGGCTTTGGTTGAGGATGTGCCCACCCCAGTGATCCTGCAGCCTGTGGGTAAAGCCTGTGAGGTGCTGCCACGGCTCTGGCTAATTTGTCCCTCCACTCAGAACCTGAGCCAGCTGCAAATCCTGTTATCCCCTCCTCTTCTGCTTATAATTACAGTTTACCTAGAGATTTGCAGGCCTTTTGTGCAGATGAAGTTTGTTATGCAGAGGTCTTAAAGGCAGGACAGAGGGCTGTGTAGGGCTTGTGGAGGTGGGATTTTTGAAAAGTTGGGTAAGACTCACTGCCTGAGTGGAAATTTTTAAAAAATAGGAATTAATTGTAATCATCATAAACCCTGTGATCTGATTTAGCAATAACTTTCATGTGTATGTGCCTCTAACTGGAATTTATAAAATGGCCAGACTGATTCTTTGTGGGAGAAGGAAAAAAAAACACAAGCCTCTGCCAAGGTGGTAAATTCTGAAGTGTTTAAAATAACTCATATCCCAATGTACAGCATGTATTTTTCATCATCTGTTGATCTGCTTGGGTAAATACATCCAGGTTTATTAAGCAAACCTCTCCTGAGGTGTGGCTGTTGCTGCCGGAGTGTTTGTGTAGCCCAGGAGCTGCTCACCTGGAGACAGGACTGCTGCATTCCAGGGGAAAATCCAAGGAAACCCTGGCCACCTGCCCTGGGTTCCGTGTCCCGGTGGCCTACAGGCAACACCGGGTGGCCTTGTCGGCTGGGAGAGGAGATGGGACCCCCTGGATGCTCCCTGCTCACAGTCTGGCTCCCCAGAGTGGGTCAATCCGCGGGACTTTTCCCTCTGGAGTTAAAGCTCAGTTTAGAGAGAGAGTTTGGGAAAAAAGCGAGAGGTAAAGATGGGCCATTAGAGGGCACTTTTGCAATCCCGGAGAAGGAAAACAGTGCTTATTATTTCACTTAGGACTGTTTATTTTGGCACTCTCTTAAATTCAGTGATAAACAGCAGGCAAATCCCTCCAGTCAGCAGGAATATATCAATAAAATATTGACTTGGAGTTTAAAAGAAAAGAAAACAAGATGAACTTGTAAAAAAGGGAATAAAAGGCATTTAAGGAGGTGGCACAGTCTAGAGAGCAAAAAAAAATCACACAACATATTTCACGTAATTTTTATGGTTTAGCAGTGCAGTGCTTGGGCCTCAGCTTGTACCTGGCTTCTAAAAACAAATCCAAGGCAAGAAAATCATTTGATGGAAGTTTCTGAGGGCTTGGAATTCACAGGCTCACATCTAGCAAGCGCATTTTCTGAAGTATTTCCAGGTATTTCGGTGTGGGATGGGCAGGGATCACAGAACTAACCTTGATGTGTCTCCTTGTTACTTTTAAGCCAAAATGCTGTTAGAATTAGATAAATGAATCGGAGACAAATTTGTACTTCATGGCTGCTCTGTGGTTGGTAATGGGGACAGAAACACCATTTATGGGAGTTTTTTAAGCACATCAACTGGTGAAATTATTTAAGAAGTGAAGCTTAGCCTATAATCAGAATGGTTTATTTTAACAGAGGTTACATTGCAGTGGGACTGACTATGGGAATACACAAGGTTGCAATTTCAGGGGGTTCACATGGAGGACGCTGTCTGCAGAAAGCGTCAGAGTTTCTTACCTAACCAAATAATCTGCTCTAACTGTTGTGATTAAGTTGGAAAGAATTTCTTCCCTGTTGGCCAACGATAACACTCGAAAAATCAATAAACAGCATGTTAGAGCACACGAAACTCATCCTGCTTTGTGTGAGAGGAGGTTTCTGCTGACTCCGGTGACTCGAGTCAGCAAGTATTTTGGATCTTTGCTCCAAAAGGTCAAATGCCATTGAGTTTTCTGATAAGTATCAACACTTCAGTCTGAATTCGAGGAAATATGTCTGTTGCCATCAAAAGCTGTTTGGGATAAAATCTGACAAATGCTGGGAAAGCTAAATCAGGATTTAACTATAAGTAGCTCACCACTCGAGGGCTCGCAGGGGGCTCTCCCTGCCCACCTGGGACATGATGCTGGGAGCAGCTTTTGCTTTCATCTTTCCATGGTGTTCCACTCAGGGAGGGGAGGATCTGGCTGCAGATACAGGAATATGTGTCAGACCAGGGAGGGAGAAGGCTGAGGAGGGCATGAGTGAAAGGAGGGGAAGATAAAATTGCATCCTGTGAGGGAATGTTTAGGATGTGTTGTTCGTGGCTTAGGATGCTTTGGAATTTGCTCCATGTTTTCTCTTCCCTCTTGCATCTCCAGTTTCAGTGGGAAAATAGATGGAGGGCAGAGACTGGGCTGGATAGCAGGAGCTGGAAAAAACAGTAGAAAGCAGGGCAAGAATCATTTGAGATAACAGAGCCAGAGACAGTGGAGGGCAGGAGAGGGGGGTGTGTAGGAGGGGTGAGCTGGGAGGACCTGTGCATTGGTGGAAGGAACAAGGAGCTTTATGTTTGCTATTTTTGCATAAAATATTAGAGAAGGGTCAAGAGTGTGTGTGTGGGGGGAAACCCCAGTCTCAGGAGAAGATTTGATCTTCAAGTTAAAAAGAAAGGGTTTGTTATAAAGTCATAGCTACCTTACAGGAGCAGTGTTTGACTGCACATTCAGCCAAGGGACAAGATAAAACTGTTCCTGCCAGCTCAGCTTTTTACCATGTTTCTCCCCAAAGCCAGTGCTAACACAGTTGAGGTAAAGACCTAAACCTCCTTTGTTTCCCCCCCCCCTAATTTAAAAAAAATGTTATCATTTAGCAATTTAAACTTGATATACTCATACCAAAAATGGACTGTTTCCCCCCCTACTCCCCTCATACCAGAACCATTATATATGAGATCATCTACTGTACTGAAAGGAGGTTTCCAGCCTGTCCCACTGTATGTGTTGGGGTAGTCATTACTGACCTACTTGTAGACATAATAATGAAAGGCTGAGATTATGAATTATTGTGCCTAATTTGTAAAGGATTCTCTGCTTTTGTGTTTTGCAATTCCCATCAGGCTTGAGGATTAAGCCCTGCTGAATTGCATGCTAATACCAATGTGCTTTGAATATGTGTGGGTTTATATCACATGTTTTCCTAATTCACTATTTTTGTAAAGAACAACTTCCCTGGAAGTATTTACTTTCCAAAGGATTGTTGGAAGCCCAGACGAAATCTCCTAAGGAGAGCGAGGCCGATGTCCCCTCCGTCTGCTCTGTGCTGGCTTTAGCTCCCAAGTCCAGCGAGCTCTGTCTCTGCTGTGGCAAAACATCAAGCTGTGGCTCTACCCAAGTATGTGGAAGGCTTTTGGTAGTGACAGGGAGAGAGAAACATTTGAAAGCAGTGCATGGGCTTGCTTTCAGTTGCAGTTCAAGGTGGAAGGTGCCTGCAGAAGTGCATATGATGTTGTTACAGGGACGCCCACGTTTCAGCAGGGAATCAGCTGCACGTGGTGCCCCCTCCTGAGGTGGGATTCCCTGTCTTTGCTGTAGGATGCTCCTGCTGCACTGCCCGCTGCTGCTGCTGCTGCTGCTGCTGCCACTGGGCTCCAGGCCCCAGAAGTTCCCGACCAGGGATGAGGAGCTGTTCCAAATGCAGATCCGGGACAAAGCGTTTTTTCACGATACGTCCGTCATCCCGGATGGAGCGGAAATCAGCAGCTACCTGTTCCGAGACACCCCTAAAAGGTATCTCTGCCTGGCTCGAGGGAGGAGGTCGTGCTTTGGAGATAGTAGCTCTGTTTGCTGAAATAAAAGTTGGACCCAAACCAGAGAAATACAAATGCCAGTGTTCTGTTTGGTGAAGTAACTAACTATGCGAGTTTCCATCCCAATCTGGCCTCCGCAGCTGAGGGCCTGTCCAATTTATTTGATTTCTGGGATAAGCCCAGAGCTCCCACAGACCGCAGAATTTCCCTGAAGTGGGGCCACTAACCATGTCTGGAGGCAAAGGGAGAGGGAAGGAAATTAGAAACTACAGGCTTAGCCCACCACACTTGTCTCTCTTAATTATTTCATATTGAACTTTAAAGTAGCAGTGTAAGGCAGACTGATCTGAACTCCCCACTTCCAGAAAAAACTGAGGTTAGACTGGGGAAGAACCTGAGGCTCCAAAGAATTCAGGGAAGAGCAGCACTGCCATCATATCACATTTCTCCTCCAGCCTTCATCGGTGAGAAATACTTTACGATAGATGATGTTTAGAGCTTGTGGGGATGTGGGAGGGCAGCTGGATGTGTCTGTATCTATATGTGCTCCTAGGGCCCTTACCTGGACATAGCATAAATGTGTGTCCTGCTTTGAAGAGCATATCCCTAAATTCCGTGAGAGACCCCATTTCCCTCATTTATACCTTTGTGACTATTCACACTGTACACAGTTAGTGTAGGGGTAAAAAATGAAGCTGGTGGAGGGGAGGACAGAAGGGGGCAGAAATCCCTCTACTGTGTCTTGACAAGGAAGTGTGAACTGCACCCCAGTGTCTGAGTGAGAGGACTCCCCTCACCTCCTTAGCTCTCGCCCACCGGCCTTCCCACATTCCCTCTGCACACACTTGCCTGTCAGTAACACTTTTGACTCCATTGTCCTGCCAGGACCATCCTCGATCATGTCAGGTCAGTCCCTGCCAGTTGGCTGCCATCAGGAGTTACTGACATGTGGTCTGTTAACCTACCCCTAGGTATTTCTTTGTGGTTGAAGAGGACAACACTCCCTTAGCAGTGACTGTGACACCATGTGATGCCCCCCTGGAGTGGAAACTGAGTGTACAAGAGCTCCCAGAGGAAGCCAGTGGAGAAGGTTCAGGTAACAAACCACAAACGATTTTTCCTGTGCCACACAGACCTGCTTTTCTCCTGGATTTGAGGTTCCTCAAACACTGAGTCTCACAGCAGGCCCGACTTTATGGTCTCCTGCTGTTTGGATCTTCAGCCCCAGTCCTGCTGTTGTGCAGGAAATGGGCAGGAGGCAGCAACATGAAAGGGAAAAGGGCTACAAAAAATAAAAGGAAAAGCTGAGGTCACAGAGGGCACTAGGTTTCCTGGGGGCTTTGCTGTGAGCTGTGTACACAAGGTAAGAACTGGAGAGACAGGGATGGGGTTGCAGCAGGGCTGAGCTCACCCCCTTTGAGGGAGTAGACCTGGAGCCATATAACTGCTGCTCAGGAGAGAAAAGGGCTTTGGCTTCCAGAGCATCTCAACACGAGTGCTAAGCTGTCATACACTCCACATGGGAGGGTACACACACCTTTGGTCCCCACTGTATTTAGCAACAAAATTTTAGCCTGACTTAGAGGGCCGAAGTCAAGGCCCAACATCCAGGAACAGGCAGGTAAGTCAGTTCTCCCTGGGGAACTGTGTGGCATCTCCAGGTGGGGTGCCTGATATTCCCATGGAAGGTATTAGCTACCATTCATGAGACTCTGCTAATACTGGCCAGGTAGAATTTCTGTTGCATTTGGTTTTAACCTGAGTGCCAAACCAATTTTCCCCTCTGATTTGACAGAACTATTGATTACATCTTCCTCAGAAGACAAAACCTTCCTTTTCATCTCACATTTGTATTGTATAGTAAAATGTAGGTGTCTGTTAGAGTTTCATTTTCTCATATTCACAGAGTGTGTCTGTACAGATGTTTTTCTTTACTTGTAACTCAGGTGACCCAGAGCCTCTTGAGCAACAGAAACAGCAGATTACCAGTGAGGAAGGCACAGAGCTCTTCTCTTACAAAGGCAATGACGTGGAGTACTTTGTGTCCTCTAGTTCCCCATCTGGGCTGTACCAACTAGATCTGTTGTCCACAGAGAAGGACACCCATTTTAAGGTGTATGCAACCACCACTCCGGAGTCAGACCAGCCTTATCCGGAATTACCTTACGATCCCAGAATCGATGTCACCTCCCTGGGACGTACAACAGTGACCCTGGCATGGAAGCCAAGTCCCACTGCCTCCCTGCTGAAACAGCCAATCCAGTACTGCATAGTCATCAACAAAGAGCACAACTTCAAAAGCCTCTGTGCTGTGGAAGCCAAGCTCAGTTCTGACGACGCCTTCATGATGGCTCCAAAACCAGGCCTGGATTTCAGTCTGTTTGACTTTGCCCATTTTGGCTTCCCTGCGGACAACAACTCCGGCAAAGAGCGGGGTTTCCTGAAACCATCCAAGTTTGGGCGGCAAACATCCTCCAAGCCCAGAGTTGACCTGCATAAGGTTTGTATTGGGAACAAGAACATCTTCACTGTGTCTGACCTGAAGCCCGACACGCAGTACTACTTTGACATGTTCGCGGTGAACACCAACACCAACATGAGCACCGCGTACGTCGGCACCTTCGCCAGGACCAAGGAGGAGGCCAAGCAGAAAACAGTCGAGCTGAAGGATGGCAAAGTTACAGATGTTTTCATCAAGAGAAAGGGAGCCAAGTTCCTGCGGTTTGCCCCCGTTTCATCCCACCAAAAAGTCACCTTCTCCGTTCATTCGTGCCTGGATGCTGTTCAGATCCAAGTGAGAAGAGACGGAAAACTTCTCCTGTCTCAAAGCGTGGAGGGCGTGCGGCAGTTCCAGCTTCGGGGAAAAGCGAAAGCGAAATATCTCATTAGGCTGAAAGGAAGCAAGAAAGGTGCTTCCATGCTGAAGATCCTGGCTACAACGAGGCCCAACAAGCAGTCTTTTCCTTCTCTCCCGGAAGACACGCGGATCAAAGCCTTCGACAAGCTCCGCACGTGCTCATCGGTCACGGTGGCCTGGCTGGGCACACAGGAGAGGAACAAGTTCTGCATCTACAAGAGGGAAGTGGATGACAACTACAACGAAGAGCAGAAGAAAAGGGAGCAGAACCAGTGCTTGGGTCCAGACACGAGGAAGAAATCGGACAAGGTTCTCTGTAAATATTTCCACAGCCAGAACATCCAGAAAGCTGTGACCACAGAGACAATCAGGGGCCTGCAGCCTGGCAAGTCCTACCTGCTGGATGTTTACGTGATAGGGCACGGGGGGCACTCTGTGAAATACCAGAGCAAACTGGTGAAAACAAGGAAGTTCTGTTAGTGCCCCCGTACATAGAAATATATGGAACTCTGGACTGAGCATTATCCTACTTCCAAGTATACGGATCGACTACTTGCACAGCTGAGAAGTTGTGAGCTGTATTTGTACTGTGTAGAAAAGATATCAACTTGTATATTTATGTTTACATAAGTAATTGTTTGGAGGAACTGAGGCTGGTGCTCTCTGGCAGCACCTGGCAGTGGTATTATCATATGTCCAGTGGCCCACATGTGATGCTCAGTAGATGTCCAAGGTAGCAGGAGACCTCGGAGGAACTGGCACGCCTTCGCTTCCGTATTGCATGAACTGCTTCTAAATTATTTTATACTTAATAAGGCTGAGATTCATCATCTGTCCACCTTGTTACTCACACACAGAACTCACAGACGTACACCCTTTCTCTCAGTGTAGGCGGTAGGGTTTCTGTAAATTATTTTATAGAGTCTTGTTTTAAATGTTTATGTTTCTATGATTGTAAACTATTAAAATCTCCCCCCCCCAATAAAATACAGATCTAAACTAAGTATTAACTGGGCTGCACATGAAGCAGTTTCATTGCTAATGTAAATTCTTACCTAGCTGATTTCCATGTTTAAATACTGTATGTATTTCATGTACAAAGTTGCCATAACGTTATATTCCTGTACATAAAATTAAAAATATTAGATTATATATTGTTTCTTTCCTTTTCTGTTGGTATTTCCATTGTGTAGATTTCTGCAAGATGCTGTGTTTCTGGATCTCAGATTTTCTGAATTTTCTCGTTTGTTTTTCCATGCCACCTTCGTTGACTCAAGAGCTCGTAGGGAGCTGCTTACTGGAAAACACACTTCAGAGAAGGAACTAGCCCAGCACCATTTCAAGAAGCTCAGAGCAGGATACACACTGCCCCAGTCCCAGAATTAAGGTACAGGTCAGGGCCTCAGGACAGGTAACAGACTTTTTCCCTTGATCCCATCATATGTGTCAGTCTGCAGCACTCAGGCAGTGCATGTCAGGGCTTTATTCAAAGGTGGTCTCTGTTTCTTCCTTAGGTGCCTGTCCATAAAACATCTCACTGCTGTGGCTTTAGCACTTACAGCCCCCTCAGGGCTCTGAAGATACATGTGGAGAAACAGAGGTATGAGGGAAAGGGACCAAAATCTGAGTCAAGGCTGAAAGCAAATCCCTCTTAGGCTGCTTGACAGGGAAAATGAGACCTCTCCTTCCCTGCAGAGGTGAGCTCCAGTTTTCCATGGCCCCGTAGTGGTGAGCTCTGGAGGTTTTCCCCTCTGCTGTCCCCAGCCCGTTTCAATTTGCAGACTAGGGGCTGGCAGCAGGGTTTCGTGGCTGCACAGGCTCCTGTGCCATCCCACAGCCCCAGCTTGTTGTGATTCTGCCAAGAAACCAGGAGCAGATACCAGAGGAAGGCTGATCAGAAGATGCCTGCTGTGTTTAATGTGATTATATAACAAACCTAATAATTGAAGTTTAGATTTCTCTGGAGATGATCTCCTCATTTGAAAACTCCTCATTTGAAATCTCTCTGATTTGTTAAAGGAGCTGCTTCAGCAACACACTCGTGCTAGATTACTGTGCCAGGGTGTATGTGAGCAGTAGGTAAATAGAGCTGGGAATCCTCAAGAATAGGACTGTGGTACCAAGGTTAGAGCACCAGCTGCCAGGGAGACACCTTCCCTACACTTCACTGCCCCAAAAAACTACTGAATTCCTAAGCTTACAGTTTTTAAGCATTTCTCTATTTACTGCTGCCAGTTGTGTGGGGAACAGCACCCCTTCCATTGGCCTATTACGATGTTTACTTGGAAACATATGTGTCACCACAATTCCAGCTCTATTTGTTCCCTTTAGTCAGATTTCTCTGTTTGGATATTCATCCAGCTCACTTGGCTTTTCTGCCTGCTTTAGCCCCTTATGTTTGCAGTATGTCACAAAATTAAAGAACTCCCCCAGATGCCTGTATCTTCTATTTCTGAGCACTGTGTTTTCAAAGAAAAACATCACAATAGTTGTCTTTATTCCCTCTGGAATTCTTCTTTTCCGGAACAACTAACTCTATTTGTTGTTCTGGATGAAACTTAGACCACACTAGTATTACATCTACTAATCTGCACGTTATTATTTGGGTCTTAGTGGACCCGAGTGGATCTGAGAGAGACAATTCTTTGAAGGATGAAGTTAAAATAAAAGACAGTGCAAATATAAGTCAGCCTTAAGTGAGAGGTGACGGAAGCAGGTGTTAAAGTAAAACAGGTCTCATCTGCTGGGAAAGCTCCAGACTGAGTATTTGGGAAAGCACAGAGCCCACAGAAGAAATCATAGCATGGGCAACGTCAAAATATATGTATTAAAAACTTCCCAGAGAATAATGCATGGATAACTGGTATAAAAAAAAATATCAAAGAAGCTGGTATATTAAATACACCAAAAATTATACAACAGGGTTTTTAAGCACAAGCCTGGAGAGGTAATTAAAATAGAAACTTATTCATAAACCTTTGTGATAGCAGAGATCAACCCTCAAGTTCTGTGGCAATCTTTGGTCTGACTGACCCCCAGAGATGGTCCCAGATGTGCACAGCTCAGCCAGTAATGTGAGTTCTCAGTTCTACATCTACTCATTCAAGTTACCATTTCCCTTCATTCCTCTTCCATTTGATAATGTTTGTTCCTACTTAAACTGTCTCCTGGCATTCCAGTGATGTTAGAAGGCAGTCAGAGGAATTTGAATGTTTGTTTCTTGACTCTGAGACACTTTTTATTTATTTGCCTGTTACTTCTGGCTGCTGGTTTTCTGCCTCGAAGGTGCAGCAGAAGAAGATGCAGTTTTGCCCAACTACCTTTTCCCTCTTACACTGAGTTTATGTGGCCATGTGTGCGCCAAATAAAACCACACCAAAGAAGGTGGCTCTTTCCATCTGCTTTTACCCCACTTGCACCGGTTGGAGCGGCTACACAAAGCACAAGGCAGTTCCCCAGGGAAATGTCAGCCTGCTCTCCAGAGCTGTGACTCCAGAGCCCGGAGGATGCAGCTGGGCCTCATTACCAGCCCCACCACTGGGGCCAGGTGACCCTGCTTCCTTTAACAAGCCTTTTCACAGGAACTGTAAAAGATGCCTGTCCTGAGATAAGGTGAGATGGCAGTGAGTTGTTAGAGGTGGGTGAATCAGCCTGTCTTTGCTTTTTGAAGTTTCCTTTTAAGTAAAAGGAGGATGTTCAGACCTACAGAGGCTTTGGGTTTGTGTTTTCGCTCTGCCAGGGGGAGTTATTTCATTTTGTAATGTGATACTGGCATTTCAGCTGGTTGGTTGTGAGTGATTAGTAAATATGGCCCTGTTAAAAAAAGTCCTTCTTCCAGTCTCATTTTGTCAGAAAAGTATAAAAAAAAGACTGTTTACCTGTATGAGGTCTCCTGAACCTGCTAACCTCATGCATAAGAAGTTTAACTTGAGCTATGATGTCTTACTTCAGGGAGCAGGCAAAAGAATTTTCCATGTCTTTTTCTGTTCTCTGAACAAAGAATGAATAAGTGCTTCATACCACAAATGTCTGTTGATAATATAATGGTAAAGCTGTTGAAAGGCTGATACAGAGGAAATAATTCATATCTATTTTTTGGGGTATTAATGTTGACACACATGCTGGTTCTTATCCCCCCCTGCTCTGCCTGTGTGTTAAAGCTGGTCTTGGATGATAGTTCATGTAGTATAACACCTGCTAGAGGTAAGTAGGGTTTATTTGTTTCACTTGATTTATAAAATGTCTGTTTGTAGCAACAAGCAGCTAAAATTACTGTAAATTTCTGCTCCAATGGCTTAGCTTAAATAAATGTTGACAGGATTATTAAGTATTAATCTTATAACACATGCTTTGCAAAGAGACCTGAATTTTCATTTTAGTTGTGGTAAAGTTCTTTTTCTAAGTCTAGTAAGTCTGGTAGTGAAGAATCTGTCTGACTGTGTGAACTCTGGTTGTAAGATGGGAGTAACACCACAAATGGGACACACTGCTTTAGCCTGCTTTGCTTCTAGAATGAGAGCTAAGAAGTTATCCTGCTTATTCTCAAAGTATGGGGTTTTTGGATGGGAGGAAAAAGACCAGAGAGTCTGGATTACAAAATGATCTGACTCTGGTGCTTAGTGGTTTAAGTTAATTCCTAATTCATACAGATTTTACCTGGAATTGCATGTTATTTCAGGTGAAACAGAGGGATAGAGAAGAAAAACTAAGACTTGAATGTTTTGAGAAGTAAAAGATTTTAGTGTCCCACTCACTCTGCCTCCTGATTTCTTTAATCATTAAGTGGAAAAGTGGATTGTAAATATGACTTCCCCCCCTCCCTACCTTTTCAAGCCACTGTTTTTCAAACGTTGCATTTCCCTGTTGAGCTGCAGCTGCTGTTTCGGGCTGTGTAATTTAATCCTGTATGTAGAGGAGAAGCTGAGCTTTTCACATCATTTCCATATTAAACCTTTTCCCCAGTAGCTCTGTGTTAGTGAGGAAAGCCTTTCATTTACTGTCTTTACGTACTCCGTGGATTTCAGAGTTGCTTTAGAGTTGCAGTGAATCCATGAAAGGCCATGACAGAACTGATACGACTCAGGGATGGTTTAGTCTTCTAAACAAGTGTTTAGACTGGTTTATAAACTTGTGGTATTAATCCTGTCAGAGATGCAAGTTCTTACTTCATCTCATCTGTTCAGTGGTTCCAAAGCCTACTTTGGAAGAATGCTTTTATCACTTCTCTACAGTCCACAACACTGGTTATAATAATCATAATCCTCAGCGTGCCTAGAAAACTACTGCTGATACCAGGGTGAGGGAGACATCCTCCCTCCTCTCTTTTTTAAAGCCATTTCTTTTTTAAAACTATTTATAAATTTAAGTTTAAGTGACCTGATAACACTGATAGGTTTTTTGAATGCAAATAGTTACTACTTCCCAGCACAGCTTGTCTGTTTATCTAAAAGGGACTTATCTATCTCTAAATAGGCATGAGTGAATAATGAACGTATAGCTGGCATCTGATCTTGCATCCATTGTGTATTTTGGAAAGCTGACTGAATTCCAAGTTGATTTCTGCCTGCTGAAAAGCGTGTGGAGTTGAGGTACCCTTTGATGAACTGCTAGATAAATGTTTATAACTCGCTTTAAGAAGAGATCCTCTCCTATTCTGGAGACTTTCCTTACTGATCCTGTGCACAGTGAGGAAAACTGAAAAAAAGAGCAGGTGGAAATGCTGTTACTTGGATACTTACTGTTTATAGACACAAAATAATATGACTGTTAAAAGGGATGTTACACCTCAGAGGCAGATAACTTATCATCAGGGTGGGATGATGATGGTGGGAGGGTGTCCCCTTTTGGGCAGTTCACCATGGTTGTTATTTTGCTCCTTGGAATCAGGACTTACTCCTCTTCTGTGTCCCGGGGAACAAATTAATTCTTTGAGGACACAAGGGTGAGGATCCCTTGCTGAGCATGGGCAGGGCTCACACATGGGCTGTGGGCACTCTTGGAGTTTTTCCTCCCACACACCCATGCAAATGCCAGCTGCAGTCTGGCCCCATTAGCATTACTGTGTTTATTCTCTTCAATTCCCTATCACACAACTGGAAAGCTGAATGTGGAATAAACACAAATACATTGACTCCAAGTGGCTTGGTATGGCC